CCGTGCACCTGCTGCTCTCTCAACACCTGGCTGCCAATAGCACCCGCATGGGGGCCAGAGCCATCACAGGCCCACCTTGAGGGGTCAGGAAGGGCGCTCAGAAAGGCAGGGGCCCCTCAGGCGCTCCTGTTTCTGCTCCTGCCTCCTGGGACTTGGGGCAGGTCCTCCCCTTCTCTGGGCCCTGGGTCGCATTCCCTATCCTATTATTGTAACATGCTACTGCTGCTCCCCGGGGTCAGCTGAGGAGATGGATTTCTTCAAGCCTGGACAGTCGCTGAGGCATGCAGAAGGCTTTTGGGGACCTCGACATGGCGACTGCCCGGTGCCCGGTGCCCAGTGCCCACATCTCCAGCAGGCGTGGGACCGCTGAGTGCCGAGGACGCTGACATGTCACTGCTGCCTGCCAAGTCGCTGAGGGCTGTCGCGGCGGGCAGGGGGCGGGGCGGGGCATGCTCTGGTCTGGGGACAACCAGGGGAGCACCAACGTGCTGTGCAGGTGACCTTCGGAACTGAGGTGGGGGAGGGCGCCTGGCGAGGAGGAGGGGCCTGCCTGCGCACGAGCGCCTGCTCCCGTGTGTGCGCGCCAAGGCTAAAGGCTGCACCAGAACAAAGAGCTGGGGGCTGGGCGGCCGGGCCGCGTGGAGCCGCCTGCCTGGCGGTGCTGCAGTGGCTGCGTGCGCTCCCTCCCGCGCTCTCCCCGGACACGCGCGCGCGCACGCGCGCACACGCGCGCTCCTGCTCCACGGCCGGCTCACCGCCAGCTCCTGACAAAGCCCCGCTCCAAGCTCGCCGGCTGCATGATCTCATCCGGGCCCTCCTCGGCGGCCTGGCCTCCCTACTAGGGAGACAGACTGGGGAACCAGGCGGCAGCGGGGGGGACAGCCTCATGCACACAGCAAACACAGCCGCACATACACATACACAGCCACACACAACACGCACAGACGTGCACACCCCCCACACCACCTAGGGAGAAAGTCTGGGGTGCAGACTTTCTGAAAGCCGCTGGAAGCTGGAGACAGACAAGGGCAGTAGGCAGGGGATGGATGCACAGACAGACATGCAGACACCAGAGACCTCAGGGAAGGGCGAGGGAGGGGGGGATTGCACAAACAAGTCAGGCAGACAGGGAAAGACAGGAGGGTGGAGAGGCAGTGCAGGGTGGCCATGGAATGGGGTGAGTTCTAGAACTGTAGAGGCCTCGTTGGGAACAGGCTGTGCCCAGGGGCAGGGTCCCTGAGGGTCACCCACCCACAGAGCCCAGGGGGTAGAGACCAGTGGGAAACAGCCTCTTGGGGCAGAAGGGGCCTTAGGGAGGCCGGGAGCCCTGCTGGGGAAGAGAAGGCTGGAAGGTCATGTTTACTTGGCACCCACTGTGTGCCAGGTATCCATTGGCCCCTTCCTCTGCCATGGTTAGGGGATGTCAGCCGCCCAGGAGGAAGGCCAACAAGCTGTCTTCACCACAGCTCTGAGAGGTGGGCAGCTGGAGCCACCTCTGGAACTCGGGGTCACAGCCCTGCTCTCTCTCACAGCGCAGCCTGCCCCTCGCAGGCCCTTCACCCCTCAAATAAAACCAGCAGCTGGAGCCTCCCCCCGCAGTCTGGACCCCTGCCTTTCCAGAAGACAGCCAAGCAGAGGGCCAGCCGGGGTCCTGGGAGCCCTGAGGCTGCACTTCTGCAGGGACAGCTTGTGGACGGTGGTCAGCCACAGCTGTCGGAGCTGACGGGGTTTGACTCCCAGCGAGGACATTCGAGTGACGGCCAAGCCGCTGCTGTGCTCAGTGTTCTTGGCTGCTGGGTGTGTTGAGAGCTCATCTCACGGGCCTGGGGGGTGCCATGTAACTTAACAGGCACGCGCGTGGGAAAGGGCTCCATAAACTGCAGCCGCAGGAAAGCACAAACCCCTTGTTTGGGAGAAGAGGTGATGCTGCAAATGCAGCTCAGAACCCAGGGCCATGCTGGGGACGCCCCAGTAACGTGCAGGGCCAGCCCAAACAGAAGCGGAGCAGCTTCCCGGACCCTAGCCAGGAGAACAGAGGCCTCCAGCCAGCCCCAGAGCCAGCAGTGATGGAGTAAGCAGAACCCTCGGCCTGCAGCCCGGAGACCACGAGTTCAAGCTCCAGCTCCATCACTTATGAGCTGGGTGACCTCAGGCAAGTCACAGCACCTCTCTGAGCTTCGATTTCTTCATCCACTAATGTACATAGTACCCCGTGCCTCACAAAGCTGGGCGCTGCCACGAAACACAGGAGAACACCCAGCACATGCCAGCAGGGCGGGGGCTTGAGTGACGCCTGAGGGGGGCTGCGTGGGGCCCTGAGCCTCTCCACCGCCACTGGGTTTTCCTTCTGCCTCTCTGGCCCCGCTTTCTCTGCTGTGGTTTTGCCTTTTAAATGCCCCTTTCTTTCCACTCCACTCTTGTCTCCCTGGTCCAGCCACCATCCTCCTTACCCTCCCCCCGCTGGTGGTTTGCCAACTGGCCCCTACATCCAGGCTGCCCCCCCCCTGTGCAATCTGTTCCTCTTTTGTAGCTAGAACAGTCTTCATAAAATCAGACTACAGCCATGTTCCCATTACTCTTAGGGCAAAGACCACGGCCTCCAAAACAGGCCCTGCATGTTCCGCTGCTGCTGACTTCTCCGGGCCTCAGCTCTGCCATGTAACCCCGGCTCTAGGCTCCAGAACCACTGCCTTTCTCTTAGTTCTGGCAAGAAGCCACACTCCCCCCTCCTACCTCAGGACCTTTGCACAGGCTGCTCCCTTTACCTGCGAGATAGCTCTTCTTCCCTTTCTTCACCTACTCTTCTTCAGACTCTGGGTCTAAGGGAAGCCTTCCTCCACCCCAGGGTGGTCTGCACCCCTCAACGCACCCATGGCACCCTTGACTTTTTCTTCAACACGCTTAGCACGGCTTGAACTTACACACTCTCACACACACGTATACACCTGCAATTATTTGATAGATGTTTCTTCTCTCCCTCTAGACCAGGAGTCAGGAAACTACAGGCTAATCACTTGTTTTCATAAATAAAGTTTTATTGGAACCAGCCGCAGCCATTCCTTTACATATTGTCCATGGCCGCTTTCCTGGAGCCCACGAGGCCTTGTATGGATGCTACCAGGCTCTTTACAGAAAACGTTTGCTCACCCCTGCTCTAGACTGTACGTTCACGGCGGCAGGACCCTTTCCGTATTGCTCCCCCTCGTCACCTCCGCCCCGGCCAGGCCAGCACAGAACAGACACTCGATAGATACACGCTTCTTTGATAAGTTACGGTTTTTACCTTGTCAAACCGTATTGACTTAAGTTATTATTGAAACTGCAGATTCCATCAGGAATAGATGTCCCTGGGAATGTTCCAAGACCATTTTCTGGCAAGTGGTTCAATACAACAGCGATACCCCGACACAGGCTGGCGTGTCAAGGGTGTGAGAGCAGCTACTGGCTGGTGGGACCGTCACGCATCCCTCGGTAAGTGCAGTGTCACCCACGCACACAGACCGTGAAGGTACACGGGAAGCACCGTGAACCCGCGTTCAAGAGATTACGAATTGAGTAGATTTATGGCAACGCATCTCGAGACGTCCCTTAAACGTGCTCACGAAGGCTGTTTCTATACACACTCCACAGAACTGATTGACGAATTCAGTGAAAATGTCTGTTTTATTGTGACACAGAGGAAATAACTGGGTTTTTTTTTTTCCCCCAACTACTTGCTCTGACTCAGTAAAGAATGTTAGCAATACCCAGACACGGTGCCAGGCACTTTTATGTATTTTTGGAACTTGACGACGAACACCTGCAGAGCAGGTCTCATTATCATTCCTGCCTTCCCAGAGAGGGAAACTGAGGCTCAGAGACCACACGCTCAGCAAGTGACAGGACTGGACAGTCCCAGGCCTGTCTGGCTGAAAGCTGGCACCACACCTGCTGGCAGGCAAGGCTGCGAGGATGGCAGCAAATGTAAAGCTGTATCGTTGATGTGCTCGGAGCCCTCGCGGACAGGACGCTGCCTGGCGCCTTTGTGGCCCCCGTTTTACACAGCGGGAGGGGCCCCGTGCCATGACAAAGCTGCAATGGGGAATATATGCAGAGCAGGCTTTTAAGAACCCTGAACGTACTGATTCATTTTTTTCATTTTCATTTTGTATTTGATTTTTTTTTTTTTTTTTTTTTTTTTTTTTTGAGACAGAGTCTCACTCTGTTGCCTGGGCTAGAGTGCCGTGGCGTCAGCCTAGCTCACAGCAACCTCAAACTCCTGGGCTTGAGTGATCCTTCTGCCTCAGCCTCCCGAGTAGCTGGGACTACAGGCATGCGCCACCATGCCCGGCTAATTTTTTATATATATATCAGTTGGCCAATTAATTTCTTTCTATTTATAGTAGAGATGGGGTCTCGCTCTTGCTCAGGCTGGTTTTGAACTCCTGACCTTGAGCAATCCGCCCGCCTCGGCCTCCCAAGAGCTAGGATTACAGGCGTGAGCCACAGCGCCCGGCCTGTATTTGATTTTTAACTAATTTTTTAAAATGAATGAATGACTACCATAGAGTGTACAGGTTAAAAATGCTGACTACGGAGTACAGACTTGGGATTAAATCCCAGCTCTGCCACTTTCCCAAGCTATGTTACCTTGGGAAATCTCTCCAGAGTCTCTGAGCCTCAGTCTCCTCATCTGTGAAATGGGGGTGATCTTGATGCTTGTGCCCAAGGGGTTACCGTGGTGATGGAATGAGACTGTCATGCCCTGCCTTTAGCACAGTGCCTATTGCTGGGCTGTGGTGTCCCTTAGGACCCTTACCAGTCCTGAGGTGGCCCCCTGGGGCAAGCACACTCCCTGAGAGAGACCCAGGGACGTACCCTACCTGTGGGCTCCAGAGTCTGGTGGGTGAGCTTCCATCCTACACGAACGCAAGCACCGGCTGGCAGGACAGCTCTGGTTTAGGGTCCGGTTCCCATCCCCACCTCCCGATGGCACCCGTGCAGTTCCCAACGACACCTACCGGCAGACTTTGGAGTGAACTTGTCTCGGTTCGCAGCACACACAGCCAGCAGTCTGTAGCCCAGGTCCAGGTCGAACCCCTGCTGGGCTGCCACCCGACTGACCACCTGCGGGCAAGAGGGGAGGAAGGGCAGCGTGAGTCACTGCCTGCACAGAGCCACCGAGCCCAGAGTGGGTGGCTAGGCCCGTTTTGCAGGTGACACAGGTGAGGTGGGCAGGCTAAGACAGAGCTGGATTGCACTATGCCTTGTTCAGTCAATCAGCAAACACTTTATATATATATATATATATATTTTTTTTTTTTTTGAGACAGAGTCTCACTCTGTTGCCTGGGCTAGAGTGCCGTGGCGTCAGCCTAGTTCACGGCAACCTCCAACTCCCGGGCTCAAGCAATCCTCCTGCCTCAGCCTCCCGAGTAGCTGGGACTACAGGCATGAGCCACCATGCCCAGCTGATTTTTTCTAGTTTTAGTTGGCTAATTAATTTCTTTCTATTTTTAGTAGAGACGGGGCCTCACTCTTGCTCAGGCTGGTTTCGAATCCCTGACATTGAGCGATCCTCCCGCCTCGGCCTCCCAGAGTGCTATGATTACAGGCGTGAGCCACTGCGCCCAGCCTAGCAAACACTTTTAAACACTCTTCCGTGCCAGGCTGGGATCCCTGTCTCTGTCCTCAGGGGTTTTCCAGTCTGGTGATGGGCCCAACTCCAACCCCATAGACCCTGCCGCTGTCAAGGGCTCAAATACAGCTACATTCTAGAAGTCGGGATGCCACTCCACCATCTTTAGGGTCTCTGTTCCACCTGTGTGGCTCTTCAATCTCCCTTCCAAGTCCGAGTTCCCAGGAATTCTCCCGCCCCGCCCCCCAACCCTCACTGAGCTCCTGCACCGACCTCACCCACTGTGAGGCCCTTACTGTTCCCTGCCAGTCCCATGGCTCTAGCATCCCATGGGGGCCTGTCAGAAACGCAGACTCTCGTGCTCAGCCCCTGATTTAGGACCTGCTGCTTCCCGTGGAGCTCCGGGTCAGAGCTGCCCAGTGACTGCTAAGGCTCCCCGGATGGGGCAGACACTCAACGTGGCTCCATGCCAAGCGCCCTGCGGCCCCTCGAACCTCAGCCTGGAAACGGCAGGACTCCCGCGCTCAGCCTGGGGTCTGTCCCCAGTGCCAGGCCCAGCTGCAAACAGGGAGCTTCTGTGACAGCAGGGGAGCACTTAGAGCCCCAAGGTCCCACCTGTCTCCTGGGGAATCTCACAAGCAGGAGCTAAAGGGGAACTGAGAGACGGGGAACTGGGGGCACTACGTCCCCGAGTGGCAGTGTGGGTCCGGGGTGCTCTGGGGCCCCCAAATGGCTCTGCAGGCCCCTGCCCATCTGGCTTCCCTCCATCCCTGCCATTCCCAGGTGTCCTGCAACTGCCAGATCTGCTCCCTCCCACCCGCCTTCCTCCTTCACAGCAGCAAGATGAGCTTTCCTTATTAGGAAGGAAGGACCTTGGAAAATGGGGTTTAGAAAGCAGCTGGGGTGGCTGTGAGGGAGCGGGAAGGAAGCGCACCCAGAGGTGGTGGGCTGGTGCTTCTGAGACAGCGCTCGGGGACCACCTGCTCTAGGGGCACGGGGGGCCTCAGGCTGCCAGGGGTTCAGCCTGGCCCCGGATCCATCAGAGCAGCTCCTCGTCACCTGCTCCGTATGGGGGGGCTTGTTACAGGGCGCTGGGGCTAAGAGGGTGGGAAAACCTCATTTACATACACACACTGGAGGCCCAGAGACTGTCACACGTTGAATCAGAGAGGAGCCAACGGATTCCCTTTCCCAAGACCACCACTGGCTCTTGGAATGGGGCCCTGGGCCCTCCCTGTACCCCCCTCCCGGGAGTCCTCTGTGCACGGCTAATGTCTGAGCCCGGCCGCGAGGAAAAGGGACATTGTCACGTTAGGCTGTCTGCTCGGCTTCTGTGCTGCAAACAGAAGCCCCTGGCACAGCAATCTTCCACTCTCCCCGGGCCTCTGTCCCATGGGCTCTACGTGTCCCATCCCTCCACATGTTCCGGAGTCACTGGGCCACCCCAGGGCAGGGGCATCCTGTCAGTCTCACTGGCCAAGTAGAAAAACCCAGGTCCCTAACCCTTTATGGGCTATTTATTTCTCTGGAGCGAGGTGGAAGGTTCTGGGCTAGAGAGGCCACTGGCCTCAGACCTGGACTCTGGAGCCCCCTCTTTGGCAGGAGCGCCATGGGGCGGGTCCAGCGAGCGCAGACGGCCCGCGTGGCAGTGCGGCCGCGGCCTGTGGGACTAGCGGTGTGATGGCGTGCCGGCTCCCAGGCGGGAGGGGTGTGTGAATGCTGTGCCGCACCACAGTGCGGGAGTCTCCAAGCGGCACCGCCAGGTGGGCATTATTATTATCTCTGCTTCACAGATGAGAAAGCTGAGGTTGGATAACAGCTCAAAGCTCGACGGTGACAGAGCCAGGATGGGATTTCCGTGTGGCCGAAAAGTCTGTGCTCTTTCCATGACACGGCTGCTCTTTCAGCCCACAAAGGGTTAAGGCCGTAGCAACTTCCAGGCAAAAGTCCCTGTGTTTGGCCAATAGCCGCTAGTCCTATTGCTCTGGTTTTTGAAAAAAATACTAGCCACACTGAGCAAGAAGGGCTGGCGCTGTGTGCAGGCTGCAAGGGCCAAGGGTGGGGGTGGGGGTGGAGGAGCAGGGAGTGTCTGCTCGTCCCTGAGTCCCCTGAGTCCAAGATTTCGGAAGGGCCGCTGGCTCCAGCAGCCTCCTTTTACTGATGAGGAAGCCGAGGCCCAGAGAGGGCAGGACCTTGCTCAAGGTCACACAGCCCAGGTGGCAGAGTGAGCTAAGCGGAACCCGGGACCCTAGAGTGCCTCGTGTACTGCTACCCCACTGGCTTCCTCCGGCCCAGCCTGAGGACCCCCAGGAAAGCCCCGTGAGACGGCGTTTGACTGGCAGAGGTGGGGGCAGCGGGCTCAGGTGCGCAGCTTGTTTTCCAGAGAGCTCAGCGAGCTCCCACCCCAACGGGCATGGCGCCATTCCTGAAGGTCTAGGGTGCAAAGACCCCTCCCTGAGCAAGGTGAGCGGCCATGGCGCTGCTGCCCTCTGCTGGCTGCCCAGGCCCTGCTGCCTCGGCTCACAGGCCTGGCTGCCAGACACCCAGACTACAGGAGCCAGGGGGACCCCAGGGGTCAGGGAGTCCCGCCCTCGAGCCACAGCAGGGAGGGAAACTGAAGTCTAGAGATAAGACAAGGCCGGCATGGTGGCTCACACCTGTAATCCTATCACTCTGGGAGGCCAAGGCGGGAGGATTGCTCAAGTTCAGGAGTTCAAAACCAGCCTGAGTAAGAGCGAGCAACCCTGTCTCGACTATAAATAGAAAGAAGTTAATTGGCCAACTAATATATATAGAAAAAAAATTAGCCGGTCATGGTGGCGCATGCCAGCTACTCGGGAGGCTGAGGCAGGAGGATCGCTTGAGCCCAGGAGTTTGAGGTTGCTGTGAGCTAGGCTGACGCCACAGACTCGCTCTAGCCTGGGCAACAAAATGAGACTCTGTCTCAAAAAAAAAAAATACAAACCAAAAAAACCCATAGAGACAAGACAAGATGGGGGACTTGCTTGAGGTCACATGGCAAATGACTGTTATGGGACTGTGTTGCCCTGAAACTCGGTCAGCCCGTGGCCACAAGCAGGACAAGCTGTCTCGGGGACACTGGAGAAGGCGCTTCTGTCCTGGCAGGGGTGGGACCCGACCGGCCTTTCTGACTGTGACATCCTCTGAGGCTGGGGGACTCCTCCTCGAAGAGGTTGAGAGCCGCCAATGTGCACCTGCTCCCCCTTGGACCCTCTCCTGCCGACCCCCACTCCGTGCACCGGCCTCTGAGCACATCGCCAGAGCGTTCCGCCTCAGGGGAGGAAAACACGCCAGTCTAGAGGGCCCCAGAGGCTCGGCCCTGCTGCGCCAGGAGCACCCGTTCCGGAGGGGAGATGGTGGCCCAGGGCTGCCGCAGGCCTCGGGCAGGGCTCTGGGGCTCCTGAGCTCCACTCTGAAGTCCCAGGGTGTGACGGGGAGGTGGGGCAGGGCCCGGCCCAGGTCCAGAGTCTGTCACTTCAATTGCGCCTGAGCTACTTAGAAGCCGGTATGGCAAAAATGTGTCCATTTGCTGCCTGAGGCTAAGTGGTTTTTAATTTATATCCTCAAAGTAAGCCGGATCCAGAGGAATTTGGAATTTGTTCCCAGAGGTCACCTAGGGGATTGTGGCAACCTGGAGCACTCGGGCTGCCACCTGGACGGGGAGGGGTGCGTGTGCGTGCGTGTGTGCATACGTGCGTGCATGTGCATGTGTGCCCGTGGGTGTGGGCATGTGCTGGGGAGGGGAGGTCAGCCGCTTGCCCAGCCCAGGTCTCTGCCCTGCACCATCCTGTCCCCGCCCATGGGGCAGGGCTGAGGTTGAAGATGCCCAGGGAAGGGGGCACTGGCAACAGGGCCCAGGGGGCTTCTGGGGCTAAGTGACAACGGCCTGAAACTGGGGTAAGCTGCTCCCCTTGGTTGCCTTGTTTACAAAATGGGATTGTGATCAGCTTGGCTGGTGGCTCACATCTGTAATCCCAGCACTTTGGGAGGCTGAGGTGGGAGGATTGCTTGAGACTAGGAGTTCAAGACCAAACTGGGCAACATAGTGAGACCCCACCTCTACAAAAAAACTAAAAAATTAGCCAGTTGTAGTGGCATGCACCTGTAGTCCCAGCTACTTGGGAGGCTGAGGCAGGAGGATCACTTGAGCCCAAGAGTTTGAGGTTGCTGTGAGCAATGATGGCACCACTGCACTCCAGCCTGGGCGACAGAGCAAGACCCTGCCCACTGTGAAGGGTCTTCATAAGGCTCCAAGGAAACAGTGCCCGGGAAAATACTTTGGGCACTGAGGCTGCCTTCTATGACCACCCCTGCCACTGGCTTCCTGCCACTGGCTCTACTGATCTCTAAGGGACAGGTGGACTCAGGTCTCTGCAGCCGCAGCTGGTGGGTCAAGGGTCCCTTTCTGACTAAGCAGTAGGCTAGAGGGGTGGGGGTAAACCTGGCCACTCCACCAAGCGTGTGCCCCCGCTGGGCCCAGGAGAGCCAGCGTTGGGCCTCTGAGCACAGTTTCCCTGCCTGGAGAGCCTTGGCCCCCCTCTCTGTCCTGTCAGATCCCAGGGGTCCTCCCTGGGCTCTCCGTAACCCCTCCATGGACCCCCCCTTCAGAGCTCTCGTCCCCACACAACCATACCCCACCACTCTCCTGCTTACGACCCTGCGGGGCTCCCCACTGCCCTCCAAATAAAGTCCAGTGCCGTCCACTCTGCTAGGGTGGCCTGCAGGCCCTGCATGTGCTGCTCTCTGCTTACGTCCTCCTCCCCGAGGCTGTGGCCACCCTGCCTTCTTTCTGTTCCTTGAGCAGATAAAGCCCCGGGGCCTTTGCACTGGCAGTTCCCTGTTCCTAGAACGTGCTTCTCTCTCTCATCCTCCCAAGGGGGCCACCCCCTCCGGAGACTTTCCTGACCTGTACTCTGCCCTCTCTCCCAGGGCCCTGCTGTGGGTCCTAATGTGCTCAGTTTGCTCCTTGAGAGAGACTCCTTGGTGTCCGACACAGGGCCTGGCCCACAGCAGGGACCCAGTGGATGTTTGCTGAATGACTACATGGACAACAGGGCCGCGGCAGGGCCAGTTACTGGCCGGGGCCATCGTCCGGTTCAGTCTCGAGTCCCATGTCTCAGGCAGGGTCAAGCTCGGGGCAGTGTGCTGGGGAGCGTGGCAGCCTGCCTGGCCACACGCTGTGCACCGTCCCCGCCTCCTCCTTCCCTGAGGGTGAGGGTGAGAGTGAGGGCGCCTCTGGCAACATCTGTCCCTGTCCACAGGGCTTAGCCTGGAACCAGGATCCCACAAAGAGGATTAATGGGGCTGGAGGAGGGAGAGGGGAGCCCAGGCTGGAGGATGAGGAAGACTGGACAGTGAAGGTGGCTGCTAACAAACAGAGGAGCCCTGGAAGGGTCTCAGCTGCACCCTTGTCCAGCATCCCTGCTGGCCAAGGGCCCCGACTGGAATCCCGGGCCCACTCCTGAGGCTGTGGGACCTCGGGGACGTCAGTTACAGCAAGTCTGTGTCGTCCTCGGTAAAGTGGGGAAGGTGGCAGGACCAGCCTCCTGGGGAGGTTCAGGGAGAAGGCACACACCGTGAGCCGGCTCCCTGTCAGGCACAGGACAGGGGCTTTGCAATGATGGCTTGTCACCACCATTTCTTCTGCTCCAGGCCAGGGCCATGCTGGGCCTTTTGTCCGCCTGCCGTCTGGAGCTTTTCAGGAAACATGGTGCCCCTGGACTGCGCCCACTGTTCCTGCCTGGCCAGGCAGCGTTCTTGGTCTTCCACTCCCAGCCTCGGGATAGGTGGCTCTCCAGCGATCTGTTCACCCACAGTCCCTCCCAAGCTGACTCAGGGCCTTCTGAGCAGCTGCCCTCCCTGGCCACTGAAGCGCCCTCACACTTTATGGATACAGGCCACATAGCTGGGGACATTCACAAGCTGTGAGCAAGTGGCTCTGCTGGCTGGCAAGCCTGCCACAAGCTCTGGGCCTGGCCTGTGCCCAGCTTATATCCTAGACCTTCACCCAGTTATCTTGGTTTTGCTAGACGACTGGGCTTTTGCACATGCTGTTCCACGTGCCTGGAACACTCTTGCCATCCTCAGCTGCTCGGCAGACTCCTGCACATGTGTAGTGGCTCCTTTTCTCAGTTTTCCGTGACACGACACACCTCCCGGGCAATTAAGGCTTCCCTGCTCTGTGCTGCCTTCACCTTGTACACGATTTTCTTGGCCATTGCTTACACCTCTGCCTCCCCAGACTGAAGAGGAGACCAGGCTTGGCAAAGTCTCATTCATCTTTGGTTTCCCTGGACGTAGCAGAGGGGATCACTCCGTGTTTATCTGGCTGGCTGGGCGCAGTGGGGGCTCAGTGAATGTGTCCGTGAGTGGATGGGGGCAGGGGGTGGTAACTAGAAAAAGGGCTCTACAATGTTTGCTAAATGAATGAATGACCGGATAAAAGCATGGCCGTAAATGCTTTAAGAGTCTCTCTGCTTTGCTTATGATGCGACACTGACCCCCAAAGCAAGCCCTGTGTCATTCTCATCAAGTGTGGGGAACCCACAGTCCATGGGGACTGTGCCTCCTCATCGAACCTAGGTCCCCCAGGGGGTGCGTCTGTGGGGGGCACATGCAGCAGGACCCTCCCCTCCAGCACTGATGTCTTCCCAGTTCCCTCCGAGGTCTGGTGGCCCCCAGCCCCTGGACAGGCACACTAGCCCCCAGCCCCCTCGTGGGCACGAGCGCAGGCGGGCGGGCGGGCGCGGACTCACCGTCAGACAGCCCATCAGGCTCTGCTCGAAGGGCCGCTGGAAGGCTCTCGGGTCTCCGCACCAGTCCAGCAGCTCCGTGGCGGCATTGTGGAAGTTGGCAGGATTCTGTAAGTGCTGTGGGCAAGGAAAAGGAGGCAGGTGAGGCTCCAGGAGTGAGGCTGGCGCACAGGCAGTGTGGGGCTGGGGCAGGGAAGACCCCAGCCTCACCAGGGAGGAGAGTCACCGACAGGGGCAAAGTGGCAGGCCAGGATCAACGAGCTTCCTCACCCTCCCTGCCCTCCACCTGCCCTCGGCATGTCCGCCCCGCCCCCTCCCCATCCCTGCAGGAGGGAGGTTAGTGGTCCCATTGCAAAGGTGGGAAGCCCAAGGTCTGGAGAAGGCCAATGACATCAGATAGTAAAGTGACCTCTGGATGCTGGTGGTGTGGGCAGGTGGACCCCGCAGGGTTCTGGAGGGTGGCATCTGGCTCCCGCACTTGGAGGCTGGCTCTCCCTGATTCAGGGCAGGCTGGCCCTGGTGGTGACTTCCTGATTAACCCCCACTAGCAAAGCTCGGGTCTAGCCTCCCGCCAGCTCTGGCTTTAGAACAAGTTCTGCCTTAACCAAACAGGGCGGGGAGAAGGGGGAGGCCACATCCAGCTGGGAGGGGGAACCAAAGCCCACAGTGCTCGGGCGGTCGTCACACTAGGGTCTGGTGTCTGTAGCTTAGTGTCCCAAGGTCCCTAGGCCCAGATCTCCTGGGCCCTGTCTGGCTCAGATGGGGGCTGCTGACCTGGGCCTGAGCTCAGCCCCCGTCCGCTCAGGGTCTGAGTCAAGAGACTGAATTCTGGTGCCAGGGTGCCCAGGCCAAAGGGCTGGTGGGGTGGGAGTGGGGTGGAGGGGTGGCTCCCATAGCCACCTACATTCTTTAGCGCTTACTCTTCAAGACTTAGCTGTCGTTCCAGACCCTCTGAGTCTGGCACTGAGTCCAGGAGATAAATGACTTGGCCAGAAGCATGGAGCAGGTTAGGGGCAAAGCTGGAATTCTGGGGTGGGATTTTGGCTAAATAGTGGGTGTGGCTGGCTGTGTCCTCCAGGGGGGCATGAGAGTCCGCTGCACAGCTGCAGAGACAGTGGCACCTCCTGAAGTCCCTCTTGCTTTGGCGCTGGGAGAGAAAGCGGCACAGCCACCACCCAGGGAGGGCGGTCCTGCTAACCCAGCCTGCAGCAAGAACCTGCCCTGGAGCCACAGGCCCCAGAATCGGGAGGGCAGCAGCGTGTGCCGTGGGAGTCCCTGTGGGACAGGCACCCTGGAGTTACACTCTGCTATCACCCCTGCAAGCCATTGACCTAGCATGGCCCCCTCACCCCCGAGTCTCAGTGACCCATGTGTAAAATGGTGCAGTGGTGGGAACTTTGGTCTCTCTTGCTTAGGTTTCCATGGCTGTTGCCGCACTGTGGTTCGTGCAAGGCAAGGTTCAGAAAACAGATGGAAGACGGTGAAATGAATGAGAACATCCTCCTTCCGTGGAAGTGAGGGGAGAGGAGAGATGAGAGGAGGAGGAGGGCGAGCAAGGAGCAGCAAGCGGCTGACACGGTGCAGGGAGCACTCAACACGATGAGGCTGCTACGGCCCCCGGCACAGCGCCTGGCACATGGGGTGCTCCCCTCAGCCCGACTCCATCTCCCAGAGGCTCCCCTGGAAGCACGGCTGCTCGTGCGGCAGCTCTCAGCCCTGGCTTTTTCTGCCTGGGCGACGCTCCCTGCACGTGACTCTCGCAAGACAGGCGGAACGTCCGCGTACAGAAGCGTGCCCCTGGAGAGGGCAGTGGCTTCGGGTCTCGCCTCCGCCTCTCGTGCCCTCTGTCTGATACACGCCCCTCAGAGGCCGAGGCACAGTCTGGGCTCTACGCGGAAAGCCGTGCAAATCAGTTCGCCCCTGCCCAGCTGCCTCCCTGCTAACCAAGTTGTTCCATCCACTTACGGGATGTCACACCCAATTAGCGGGATCGTCGGCCTGCGCATGCTGCTCCCTGCCCGCAGTTGGCCACGGCACCCCCTCTGGGGCTCTGGGTTCGAGAGTGGCCTCCGGGTCTTGTTCTGGGGCCTGTGTGCCCAGCCTTCCTGATCTCGCCACCTCTGAGATCCTCTGCCCTCACCCAGACAGCTCGTGTGGCCTTCAGCTGTGGGTGGCCCTCGGAGAGGCAAAAACATCCCCTTTGTTGGCCACTGTGCAGCAGCTCTGTGGCCTTGGCCAACGCGCCTCCCCTCTCTGCGCTTGTCGCCGGTTCCGACCATGAGGTGGCTGAAGTGCACGTGAGACGGAGGGATCTTGTGAAACGTGCAGGGCAGACCTGGGCCAAGCCCTGTCTCAGCCACTGAGCCATGCAGCCTGCATGATGTCACTGAACTTCCGCTCCTTCATCTAAGGAGAGTGGGGGGTGGTGACATAACGCAGGGCTGCTGCAAAGTCTAGAAACAATATACGCGAGGGGCCCAGCAGGGAGGAGGGGCCGGGAAGGGGCTGCCATTGCTGTTCATGCGGGGCCCTCCCCACTGTCCTTGCTTCTCTTAGGAGCCTCTTTCGGGTAGAGAGAGCCTCCTGTTCACTCTGGAACCCTAAAGATGGGCACAAGGCTGGAGCCCTGCAGGAAATAATGGGCTGTCCAGTGGATGGTCCTGATGAGGCCAGCAACCTGGCTACTGCAGAACGGGTCTCCAGTGGCACGTGGAGGGCCAGGGCTGGGCAGGGCTGAGCTTGGCCAGCCTGGGATAGTCTGGGGATGGCAGTGCACCTGGAATCACAGGCAGAGGCTTCCCTGGCTGTGGCTGTGGCTGTGGCTGTGGCTGACACTGACGCCCTGCCCCCCACCAGGAGGCCTGCCCATCTCCACAAGTCCTCAGAAGAGCTGGGATACGTCCAAAGGCCACAAGTCTGCTGGGGCAGGAGCAGGGCATGCCAACGCCCAGACCAGAGACTGGCTCCCCTTGAAGTGATGGATTCATCTTCTTATCAGCCTATCTGTCCATTAACCCACCAGTCCATCTGCGAATCAAATGATCCATCCATTCATCCATGCATCTGTCTATCCATCCATCCAAAATGAATCAACTCATCCATCCATCTGTCCACTTGCCCACCTACCCATTCATCCATTCACTACTTTATCCATCACTCACCCATCTACCTATCTGCCCATTCATCCAGAAGTTAATCTATCCAGCCACCCACCTATCCATTCATTCATCCATTTATCCATTCATCATCTATACATAACCACCCACTCGCCCACCTAACTATTCATCCATATGTCCATCCATCCACCCCTCCCTCCATTCCCTTATGTAACTGTCTATCAGTCTACCTCTTCCTTGCACCCACCCAAAACACGTGCCCTCCCCACCCCCCGCCCAGCCCTGGGCTGAGCCCGTGCTAGACTCTGCGGACTTAGAGATGAATGTGGCACATCCTCCGACCCTCAAGGAGCTCAGCCTGGTGGGGACCTGACATCCGCCCACAGGGCCTATAGCTCCAGGGAGAAAGAGCAGGGTGGGTGAGGTAGCTGGGTGCCCAGGAAGCCCTTGAGCTCAGGGACAGGGGCGTGCAGAGGCTCAGAGGGGTTCGGGGCGGCTGCAGAGCAAGAACGAGCGGATTTGCAGGGCTGGTGGAGCCAGACGTGCCTTCAACCTCGGGCAGGGCACGTCGCAGAGAGGGAGCACTGGTCTTCCCAGGGCCACGAGGCTGAGAGGGGGCAAAGGCAGCTGAGCTGCAGGCCTGCCGGGGAGGAGGGCCGCAGGGTGCTGGGGGCGGAGGCCAGCAACGGCCAGAGCCGGGCGGGTGGGGGAGGGTAGGCTGTGCGGAGAGGCGAGGCTGCTGATGGGAGCCACAGCCCCTAGCAGCCCCGGGTCTGCGCAGTCGACACATCTGTCATCCTCCGCGCGTGCAGACGTGCTCGCCTTTCTCTTCTGATTAGGTTATGGGATGCCTGAGAATCAACAGTCCTCAGGCAGCCGTGGAGCAGACGCATGTCAGCGCTGAGCTGCCTCTGATCAGAGGTGCAGGAGGAGGGGCGTGGAGGACACAGGGAACTTCGGACAGCCCAGGGGGCATCCGGACCGCCTGCTCACGCCCACAATCGTGCCACTGTCTGGCCCAGATGCATGCAAGGAGGGCCACGGGGACTCGGGCCCTAGCTGGCTGACTGTGCATCAATGATGATGCCCACTTTACAGATGAAGCAAGATGAAGCGGCAGCTTACTCAAGGTCGGACAGCTCGTAAGCGGTGGAACCGGGATGAAGGTTCCCTGACTTGTAAATCTGACCTGTGTGTGCCATGCTGCAGGGGTCTGCAGCCCTGGGAGTGGGGGCTGCTTCTGGGTGGGCCTCTGCCCACGCTGGACCCAGGGAGGGCCCAGGACTCAAGTACACCCTGGCTCCCGGTGACACAGAGCTGGGTGCTGGCAGCAGGTCTCAGGAGGAGCGGCGTGCCTGGCACACGAGGGCTCATGGACAGAGGCCGTGACGGCTCCGCAGGGGCTGGGGTCAGTGCCAGCTGCGCCATGGGCCGGAGAAAGTGGGTCAGAGGCAGAGCTGGGAGAGCCCTGCAGAGCCCAGGAGGAGGAGGGAAGGCGGGAGGAGGGAAGGCGGGGGATGAGGGAGGCGCTTGTCTGGTTTCTATTCTGCAACCGTGAGCAGAGGCGCGTAATTGGCGTTTGGGAGAGCCGTGCGGGCTGGGTTCAATCTGTAACAAGTCTTCTTCAATTTCCTCTCCTCAGACCCTGCACCGGCTTCTAGATTGCTCTGCCTGATGCTAACGACAGGACACACATCCCTCCTTCATTCCCCGGGAATAGCCACAGCTCCACTGGGCAGGCACCCCGGGCAGGCTCCGTGGGGCCCTGGCCCCCAGGAATGGGAGGCTGGGTCGGGGTGGGAGGGTGCCCAACTGGGGTCCTGGGGCTGTGGCCCACGCTGGTCACTGTAGCTTTCAGCTAAGCCTGCCTAACCCAGGCCCCCTGCCCAGCACTCCCCTCCCCATCACTCAGAGGACGCCAGCCACCAATCACCCACGACATGCCAGGGCTGGGCTTCGTGGTCACAGCAGCCCATGAGAGAGGCCCTACCTGACACAGGAGGAGACTGAGGCTCAGAGAAATCAAAGACCAACCTGAGATCCCACGGTGGGGACAGAGAGGAATGAGGACTCAGATCTGGGTCTGTCTGACGCCAAAGCCCACACCCCTCCCACTACACCTGCTGCCTCCCACAGTGAGGTAAGACCATTCCGTCTGCAAAGCAGCAGCCTCGCTGGGCTGCGGGAGGCTGGGCCCAGAGGTGGGTGCTCCTGCGAACTGCCTCTTGGGCTTGGCGTGAGCATCCTCGGGGTGGGGAATTCACCACCCTCTGGGATGAGGTCCTCCCAGCACCAGTAGGGCTGAGTTCTGGGCTGTGTGACTTCAGGCTGCTCCATTCCTCTTTCTGTGCCTCAGTCTCCTTTCCTGTAGAACTATCTAATTTCCTAGCCAGGTGTGGTGGCACACCTGTGGGACCAGCTACTCAGGAGGCTGCGGTGGGAGGATCCCTTGAGCCCAGGAGTTTGAGGTTGCTGCGAGGTACGTTACGATTGTGCCGCTGCGCTCCAGCCTGGGTGACAGAGCAAGACCCTGTCTCTAAAAACATAAAATAAAATGATCTAATTAACCAGAGCCTTTTCTTCTCTAGCGGCTGTTTTTTTAGGGAACAGCTGGAACAGAGGGGCAGAAAGCACAGGTCTGGAAGGATGTGGCGGCAGATGGCAGTGTTGGGCACTTACTGTGTCCTGCCAGCAGCCCAGGGCACACGGGCCCAGAGTCGCACGGCTGGGAAGGGCGAGGAGGAAGGGACAGGGCAGCAGTGCTGGCGTTGAAACTCAGGTGTGTGTGACTCCAGCGTTGGGCTGGTCGGTGCCAGCATGCCAACGATGGCCTCACCAGCTGAGTGGTCAGGGAGCCCCGGGCGCTGGCCCATGCCCACCATCCCCCCAGCACCTGCCGGATGCCCCGCGGCTGTAGCCGAGGCCTGTGGGCCCCCCCCCCCCCGGCAACACCCACCTGCTTGATGCACTGCAGTCGGTCATTGGTCTGCTGGATGTGCCTGTCCATAGAATTCATTCTGGCCGTTTCGCTGGGTTCTACCCGAGAGCCATGAACGTTGCCCAGCCTGTGAAGAGAGAGGGCAGAGGGTGTCACCGAGATCGTGCCAGGCCTGCCAACCTCACCCCGGGCCCCCAGCCACCCTCTGCTCACAACACCGGCAGGCTCCAGGGCTCTTTGCTGGGCCCTGCAGGGTTGCGGGGGTCACAGCTGGAGCGCCCCACTGGGCGGAGGGCAGGAGGTGGTCCTGGGCGTGAGCATGGGCAGGCACGCCCACCAGGAGACGAGAACTACACGCGCGGGTGCATGCATTTCCATGTGTGCGCGTGTGCTAGGTGGGCGGCGGGGGAGGGGAACAGCGTCCACGTGCCTGGATCCCTGGTTCAGGGCTTGGCCCACTCAGCGAGGCTGTGTGTGTGTGTGTGTGTGTGTGTGTGTGTGTGTGCGCGCATGTGCACTCGAGGACCTTCCTGCGTGACAACCTGCACGGCAGGTGTGGTCCGAGTACAGATCTCCTGTCACGGAGGCCACCTGCCCTCCTCAAACCCCTCATGCTTTAGAGTTCTTCACACTTTACAAACCACACACAACTCCATTTTTCCACTTTGTCACCCCCAACCCCGCCTCCTGGAAAAGCACAGTGGGAGGCACACACCCATTTTCCAGAAACAGAAGGCTCAGGGAGAGGAAGGGAGTCACCTGACACCGTGAGCCGGCATCGGGGCCCATACCAGGACCCCGGACCCACACCAGGCCCACACCCACCCCTGGCCCACACCAGGCTCCTGACCGCCGGCCCAGGGCCACTTCTACTGCACAGGCTGAGTAGGCGGTGCCTGAAGTCCTGGGCACGAGGCTCGCCCTTCCTGAACTGGGGTGCAGTGGGGGCTCGGGAACATTAATATGAGTGGGGCTTCCCCCCAGATGGCAGAGCTAAGTGGAGGAGGCTCCTCAGCTCCAGAAAGTCCTGACAGCCCCCAGATCCCTCCAGGGAGGCCTCAACAACGACGGCAGAGACAGAGATAGAGAGACAGAGGGGGGAGAGACTGCACAGTGCTAGTCCACCCCCTGCTGGGGCGTGCATGTCCTTGGGCAAAGCAGAAGTCTGCCCCACTGCCAGCTTGGTCTGCCCTCCCACACCCACACTGGGGTCAGACCCAGGGTGCTGGACAGGGGGCCCTGGCCTTCTCTGCTATCCCACCACGCTGTCCCCCAAAGACGCCTCATCCCTGGTCATGTCAACAAAGGTCCCATTTGCCCAGGACTTTTCATGTGCTGGGCACCTGCATTCTCTCCTTTCACGCCCACTCTGTCAGGCTAGGATCATCTCCATTTTGCAGATGAGGAGACTGAGGTCCCCAGATCTGCTGGGCCCCCGAGGCTAATAGAATTTTGGGCCGCACCTGTCTGCTTTCCGTGTCCCGACTCTGCCTGCAGCGTGAGCACCCTCACTGAGGGAGCCAACGCCACCGCCTGGCCCCAGCCTCGGGAAGAAAGCCCTGTTCCTCCTCCTCCTCCGAGCTCTTGCTACACATCCTTTAGAGCAATTCTTATCACGCCATGTGTGTTTGAAAACGTAATTTGTTTGCATGGTTCTAAAATCAGAAAGTCCACAAGGGTACCCAGTGGTGAGTCCCGGCCCTGTCCCCACGCCCCAGGTGCCCTTCCTAGGAGAACCAGTGCCCTGGATTCTCCTTCCAGAGAGCCTCATGTTCTAGAAGCAAATATCTACGAGTACCATCGTCTGCTTTTTCTTTTTTTAAGAAACTTAAAACAATAGTATTCTATACACATTACCTGGACTTTGCATTTTCCCTCTTAATAGTATATCTCAAAATTGATTCCACATCGAGACACATAGAGCCCTTTTCATTTTGCAATGGCTGCACAGTATTCCAAGGTATGGATGAAGCCTTTATCCAACCAACATCTGACTATTTACCCCCCGCCAGGGGCTGTCCTAAGGCCTGAGGCCTCAGACAGGGCCCCTCCACTCAGGGATTCACACTCCAGCCTGAAATGATGGAGCCTGAAGCTGTTACCAAATTTTTACCATTGCAAACAGCGTTGCAGGCATAGCCTTTTATATCGGCACATCACACACGTGTGAATTAATCTGGAGAGGACACTCTCAGAGCGGAGTTGCCGGGTCATTCGGGCACTTGGACTTGTGATAAGTGCTTTCCGAAGCTCTCCAGCAAGAAGGTAAAAGAGAGGCTGTGCCCACGTTCATTGCTCCACCCCCACCCTGCCAGCCACCACACACCCTGATGGCCAGCTTCTCCACCCATCGTTTCTCCATCTAAATGCCTGCCTGTCCAGCCGTCCACCCACCCGTGCAGACGACTCTAGCCTCCACTTGCTCATCCCTGAACGCTTCCACTCATCCAGAAAATGCTTTTTAGTAACTGTGCTGTGCCGGGACCCAGGCTAGATCGCTGAGGCGTGTGGAGGTTAGAACGAAGTGATTTTCTTGTGTTCAGGGAACCCTTGGTCCAAGCCTGTACTGACTCCAGGTCACCCATCTGCTAAGCTCCTCTTATGAGCCATTGCTGGTCCAGGCATATGGCAGAGAGAAAATGCTACTATATGCCCACTTTACAGATGAGGAAACTGAGGCTTGGAGGCTGTAGTTGGTTGGGTAGGAGCCAGCTGCAGAATGCTGGCTTTTGGATCATGTCCCCCGCTCTTGAACAGGTGCTGGGGAGGGCCTGGGGTGGGGGTGCAGGTGTGTGTGTGTGTGTGTGTATGTGTGTGTGTTGGCGGGAGGAAGTGGTGAGGATGCAACTCCCTTTGCTGCCCCTGTTCATCCCCCGGCAGGGGCTAAATTTCTCCTTTCGAGTTTGTCTGCAAGGAGCTGCAGCCAGCACTCACATGGCACAGGCTCCTGGGGCCAGGGACAAATGTGGGGGGGTGGGAGGTGGACAAGCAGGAACACAGAGGGTTCCAGAGCAGGATCGAGCCAGTGCCACCCTCGGTGACAACACCTCAGTTCCCGGTGCCTGGCCCCATCTGAGCCGAAGGACCCTGGGGGTCTCCCGGGCACCGCCTATGCCAGGGGGCTGCCAGGGCTTGGGTCCCCCCAGGCACGGACGAACACTGGCTGCCGGGGTTCCAGTACAGAGCGCAGGGTCCACAGCCAGCCCGAGGGACCCGTCGCGCAGAGGCCGGGGGCGGGTCGGCTCCCGTCTGGAGGAGACTGAAGGGCAGTACAAAGAAACCCCAGGCCCACCGGCCTCTGCCCGCTGTCCACAGGCTGCAGCCACCCAGGACAAAGGGACGGTGGTGGCCCATGCAGCCGGCAGGGGGCGCTCTTGACAAGCCCAAGTGCTGGGAGGGCCAGTGGAGGTTCCTGGGCACCGTGGAGGCTGGGGTGTTCTCCCCGCCCTCCCTCCTCTTCCTCACTGCAGGAGGGGCTTTGAGCAGGCTTCTCGGGTGTTTCTTGGCCTTCCTTTCCTCACTAGTAGAACAGGATAGCGCAGAGGGGGATCAGGTGGTCTCATAAGGCTCTGCCTCTTAGGAGGAGCTGTCCCCAGCACGGGCATGGCACTGTGTCCGGGGTCAGAGACCCAGTGAGCCTTGAGGGATGACAAAGGGTTTCTGGAGCCCACCCAGGGAGGTCCCAGGCAGGCACCGGGAGCCCAGATCCGCCCAGCCAGCGACCTGGACTTTCCTCCCCGGCCATGGCTCCACCTTACAGGAACCAAGGAGTGCCAGGCTGGGCTTGGGACACCTGCAGGTCCCAGGGTGGTGGGCGGCTGGCAGGAGAGACATCACAGATCACGGGGACAGCTGTGTGTCCCGTGTTTCTTAATCTATAAAAGAACAAATGGCTGGAAGATTAAGGAGGCACCTATATAGGTGAGGCACCTATACAGGTAACATTTTTAAACTTCTGAGGTCAATGGTAGGAATTTGGGGTTATTAACACCAGGAATGGAAGGAATGGGAGGCTCCAGTGTCCACAGAAAAAGAGTCAAAGGCCTTGAAGGCCAAGGGTCCCAGGTATGAGAGGAGGGGCTCAGGGAGGCATGAGAGAGGCAGCTTGCAGAGGGGGCAGGCTGGGATCTTCCATTTGTTTTGTACCTGCAAATTTGGGTACCACACCAAGGCCTATGTGGTGCTAATTTTCTTAATCCTTAAAAGGCTCAGAGGGGTGAAGCAACTTGCCCAAGGTCACACAGCCAGAAAGCTGCTGGACTGAGATATAAATCCTCTGCCTTTCTAACTGTTGATGTGTTGTCCTTTTCACTCCTGCGGACTGGTGGTCAGAGCCTCCTGGTACTCCCCACCTCGTGCAGTGCCCGGGCCCAAAGAGCTGTCCTCCTTGTTCGTCCAACCTGCCCAAACCAAGTCACTAGCTTCCGAGGCCATCCCAGCAGCTCTGGCTCCCTGCATGCTGGCCGGGCTGGGAAGCGGCGGGCACCTAGCGGCCAGCAGAGGTCGCCCTTGGCCACGGGAGCACTGCCTGGGCTCTGTCGCTGCCGCAGCCTCCGGGCACCTGGACGCCTTTAAGCCTTTACAAGTCGCTACAAATCCTCTGTGGCTGCAGCTCCAGCGGCCAGTGAGGCTGCGGCTCCCTCCCAACAGAACCCTGGTGGCCTGGCCCTGGGTGCACCCATGGCCTCAGCCCTCCCAGCTGCCTGTCTGCCTCTGATGGGGGTGGGCTCGAGCAGGGGACCCCCACGCTGGTTCAGGACCCCATCATCTGTCCTGGTCTGAGCAACCGCCAGCCTGTAGGTGATGCAAAGCCAGTCAGCGAGGGGGGGACTGATGGGTGCTCCCTCCCTACCACCCTCCTGCTGAGCAAGCAGGGCAAAAAGCTGGGCCTCAGTTTCCCTATCTGTGAAACGAAGGATTGGGCTAGCCAGCCGTTGGTGGCCCATCAAACTCCCACATCTTAGGATCTCCCTGTGAGGAGCTCCGGCTCTTTGGACAAGTCCACCTCCATAAGAGCAGAACACTTGCCCTTGAAACTGCAGAGCCTGTCTCAGGGCAGGTCTGTGGGGAGGCCACCGGCCCCGGGAGCCATTCTTCCAGCCAGCTGCCCCTTCCCGCTGCCCCTTC